TTCCTGACCCACCAGAACCACTCTGAGGTCAGCGCCTGGTCCTGAAACCACAGGACGGCGCGCATTAGAAACCCTCTGAGCCTCAGAGCACACTGACAGAACAGGTAGAATAAAGGTCCAGAGACAGGCTGGGATTGTAGATTTATGTCAGAGTTGTTATTCAGATACAGAACAGTTGATGTTTTGCTCTTCTGTCGCGGATATCCTCTCAACGACGTGTCGAATTATTCTAAGTCTTGCAAAAATACTAAGTTCTTGAAGGAGCAGTTGAAGAATTATTCTAAGTCTTGAAGGAGCAGTTGAAGAATTATTCTAAGTCTTGAAGAAGAAGTTGAAGAATTATTCTAAGTCCAGAAGAAGCAGTTAAAGAATTATTCTAAGTCCAGAAGAAGCAGTTGAAGAATTATTCTAAGTCCAGAAGAAAAAGCAGAGGCAGCTGGGTCCCGGTCCAAAGTGGTTTATTGCAGCAAATACAAATCCAACCACATGAGCTGTTAGCCAGGCTAACAACTAACTTTCTTGGGACGAACGTCTGCTTATAAACCTTTCGATTCTTGGGGCTCCACCCTGAGCCCCTCCTTTATTATGTTTTAGCCTCTGAACCATGGTTTCTTCCTTTTATATATTTATATATACAGGGGTTGGACAATGAAACTGAAACACCTGGTTTTAGACCACAATAATTTATCAGTATGGTGTAGGGCCTCCTTTTGCGGCCAATACAGCCTCAATTCGTCTTGGGAATGACATATACAAGTCCTGCACAGTGGTCAGAGGGATTTTAAGCCATTCTTCTTGCAGGATAGTGGCCAGGTCACGAAGTGATGCTGGTGGAGGAAAACGTTTCCTGACTCGCTCCTCCAAAACACCCCAAAGTGGCTCAATAATATTGAGATCTGGTGACTGTGCAGGCCATGGGAGATGTTCAACTTCACTTTCATGTTCATCAAACCAATCTTTCACCAGTCTTGCTGTGTGTATTGGTGAATTGTCATCCTGGTACAGGGCAACTCCTTCAGGATACAATGTTTTAACCACTGGATGCACATGGTCCTCCAGAATGGTTCGGTAGTCCTTGGCAGTGACGCGCCCATCTAGCACGAGTATGGGGCCAAGGGAATGCCATGATATTGCAGCCCAAACCATCACTGATCCACCCCCATGCTTCACTCTGGGCATGCAACAGTCTGTGTGGTACGCTTCTTTGGGGCTTCTCTACACCGTAATACTCCCGGATGTGGGGAAAACAGTAAAGGCCGACTCATCAGAGAACAATACATGTTCCACATTGTCCACATCCCAAGATTTGCACTCTTTGCACCATTGAACCTGACATTTGGCATCGGCACAAGTGACCAAAGGTTTGGCTATAGCAGCCCGGCCGTGTATATTGACCCTGTGGAGCTCCCGACGGACAGTTTTGGTGGAAACAGGAGAGTTGAGGTGCACATTTAATTCTGCCGTGATTTGGGCAGCCGTGGTTTTATGTTTTTTGGATACAATCCGGGTTAGCATCCGAACATCCCTTTCAGACGGCTTCCTCTTGCGTCCACAGTTAATCCTGTTGGATGTGGTTCGTCCTTCTTGGTAGTATACTGACATTACCCTGGATACCGTGGCTCTTGATACATCACAAAGACTTGCTGTCTTGGTCACAGATGCACCAGCAAGACGTGCACCAACAATTTGTCCTCTTTTGATCTCTGGTATGTCACCCATAATGTTGTGTGCATTGCAATATTTTGAGCAAAACTGTGCTCTTACCCTGCTAATTGGCCCTTCACAGTCTTCTCTTATTGGTTCAATGTGCAATTAATGAAGATTGGCCACCAGGCTGGTCCAGTTTAGCCATGAAACTTCCCACACTAAAATGAGAGGTGTTTCAGTTTCATTGTCCAATCCCTGTATATATATATATATATATATATATATATATATATATATATATATATATATCCCAGCTACATGTTACTTCTACTTTTCTTTTAGATATATATATATATTAATGCACTTACAACTAATCTTTTGTGATAATATATTCACTGTAGAATATTAATCCACTACACTTCACACCAAAGCTCTCCCAAAGAAAAAGAAAAGAAACATGATTTCATTATTAAAGAGTAGGGCGGCACGGTGGTGTGATGGTTAGCACCGTTGCCTTACAGCAAGAAAGTTCTTGGTTAGAGTCCCGGGGGAACCAGGACCTTTCTGCCAGAGGGTTCTGGGTTCTAATTCCAGGGGGAACCAGGACCAGAGGGTTCTAGGTTGGAGTCCCGGGGGAACCAGGACCTTTCTTGGTGGAGTCTGCATGTTCTCCTGATTCTGTGGGTTCTCTCCGGGTTCTCCGGCTCCCTCCCACCGTCCAAAAACCTGCATGTTAGGTTGGTTGGACTCCAAACTGCCCTTAGGCGTCCTCTTTCGCCCGATGTGCCCGCTTTGGACCTCGGCCTTACGGTTTTCCGGCAATCGGGCCCAGAGTCCAGACTTTCCCGACCCTCTCTAATAGGATTTGAATGGAAGAAAGGAGAGATTTTTTTTTGGCCAGAGCCAAAACGGCCCTCATTTTGAAATTGCCATAAAAAAATAACCGCTGGGAGCATGCGAAAAATAAACAGACGTGCTGAGACCTGAAAGTCTCGGCCAGCTCACGGTCCAAGAATTTTTCAGTTTTGTGATATAGTTTTCGAACAGCATACAGCCGTTCGGAGGCAACTTTTGATCAAAACTGTCAGTTTTCTGTGTCAGAGCTACGGCTTACTGATGAGTCACAGGTGTGGGAGCTCAGACTTTGGCCTGGCTGCTGTCGCCGTGGCGACCAGCAGAGGCCTCTGCAGAGCTCTGTGAGCTGTGAGCTTCAAGGCGGGCGAAGCCCGCTCTCAGCGATTTTTTAAGAAATACGTTATTCCTGTTTCAAGGCGGGCAAAGCCCGCTTAGAGGGCTTTAGTCAGAGCCCGGTTCTGGTTCTGGTTCTGGGGATCGGACCCAGCCGGGTCGGAACAGGACTGGGCCCGGACCCAGCCATGTCATACCTCGTTGCGTAGGTCTTTTTCTCAGCTTTCAGCCAATGTCACCCGCGACCTTCTCAAACCAATTAGATTCAGTCAGCGGGCCCCAGAGCTCAGCCGGGTCCCTCCATCACCTCAGGCCCTCTCATAGGCGCGAGCCCACATTACAGAGAGCCCAAATATCGATTGGCTCACCTGGCCCGGGTTCCCGGACGGGCAGCGGGTGGCCCCCCTCCAAAATTTCTTCAGAAATTTTCTAGTTTCACCTCCGATCCGATACCGATCTCGGCATATTGGAACATGTGTTAAAGTTTACAGTTATTTATCTACTTACTTAGTTGTCAGACTCATGTTGAACACGGATTTGCTCTGATAACAACTTAATGGTTAGGACACAGACCTGTGGGTTAGGAGATGCATGAAATTGCTATTTTGGATCAGATTGATTGTTCAGCACTACTCCAGTGTAACGATCATACCCCTCTCTGTGTATCAGATCAAAATTTATATATACCAGAAATATTTAATGCAGTTTAGCCTCATGTAGCTTATCCTATTTAAATAATGATAACTGATTTCAATTGAAGATCTGTGGGATGAAGAGTGACTGCTGCTATTACTTGTTTTTGGTGACGGCTCTTTAAAACAACCCGGATGTGGGTTGGACAGACTTAGAAGGAGGAGACCCAGAGCAGACTTAAAGCAGCAGAGATCGAAACGCTTCTTTATACAGACATCAAGACATCAGCAGCTCATCGTCCTGTCAAAGACAAACATGGCCAACAGCAAATGTTCTCTTCCTGGTAAGTATATTTCTAACTTTTACATGTTTAAAAGCTCGGCACACGTTTGGGCTATTTGGTTAAACATTTAACCTCCTGAGACCCTAACTTTTGTTTGATGTGTGTTCCTGCTTTGTTCCGGATCTCTGGATCAGGAAGAGCTGATAAGTTTAATAACTAGACTTTGTCCTGGTTCAGGTAGTTTTTCTTTATACACACTTGTTGGGTTTATCTTTAGATTTAAAATAATTCAAGAGGAAGGTATGTTTAAGTAATTAAATGTTTTTGCGATTTGATTCTGAGCGTCCAATGACCAAGAGGTCAAAGGTCAAAGAAAAATAAAGGATCATGGTAAAGAGAGGCAAAAATGCGGCATCCCCACATCAGAAACGGCTCTCAGGAGGTTAATATATATATATATTTTTTTCCTTGTATGAGGCCCATTATAACACCATGTCCAAAGTCAGAAATATTAATATTATTAATAAATATCCTTCTCTTAAGAAAGATTATACATTAGTCAACTTGTGGTGGGGTGTATGGTTTCAATATTTCCTTAATTATCTGTTTATGAGCTAATAAAACACTAGTCTATAAATTCTTTTATTACTAAGTCATATTTTGACTTATCTTTTCAGATTAAATCAGTCTGTTAATGTCTAACCAACAGACAATAAAAACAGGGATCAGATTAAACATATTTCTGAGCTGCAGCTTTGGGAGAGAGGGAGTTATCTCAGAATCTCTTTGCGACAAAACTGACATGAATGTGTTCCCACTTTGAGCAGACGCGTCATGTTTTAGAGGAACATGGATCTGCTTTAAGTCTGCTCTGAGTCTCCTCCCTCTAATTTTGTCTAACCCACATCTGGGTTTGTTTCAAAGAGCTGCCACAAAAACAAGTTGATTCTAAGCAGCAGTCACTTTTCATCCCACAGATCTTCCGGTGAAATTAGTTGTCATCATTTTAACACAATAAGCAACATTAGGTTAGAGGGCATTAAGCATTTCTGTTTATAAATGTTAATCTGATACACAGAGAGGGGTATGATTGTTACAGTGGAGGCATGTTACAGATAACCCCTAATTTCTGTTTCTGGGAGCAAACATCAGGGGAAAAGTCCCCACAAAGTCCTCTCTCATAACAGCGATTACAGGCTGAGACAGTTCAGAGTGGTTTCACTAACATGAGGTGGCTCAAAGAGTTTGTTCAATATCTCTGGATCATATAAATTCCTCAGCTTTGTGTAGCTAAAGCTGCACTCAGGTTCACTTTGTGCAGACCAGCATGGTTTTACTCTAAATTCCACCAATCTCAGTGAGGAGCAGGTTTCAGCCACAAAAAAAAGACTTTTTCAGGAAAATATTTAGATCTTTATGAGACCTCATATCAGCTTAGCAGTATTTTACATTATTAGGAACATAAAAGTACTAAATAGGGATGCAAATTATCGATTAATTCATTAATCATTATTTGATTATTTTATCGATCGACTTTCAATTAATTGATAAGCTGCGTTTTTCACCTGAGTTTCAGGGCTTCAATAGGGCCTTAATATAATTGAGGTATTATATTACATTAGCCAACATTATGATACCATAATTATATTGTATTATATTATACATTCCTCAAGTAATTATGCATTAGGAGAAGAAAGCAGACACGTTTTTAAGGTAAAACAAAATCTTTAAAAAAAAACCTGGCTCAGTTCTTGCATTTGAAACAGACATTAAAAAGAGAATAGAAGAAATTAAATAGAGAGCCAAACTGAATATTATTGAGCCTATAGGTTAGAAAGAAACTGCATAGGCTATTAATTGGGTAATCCTCAACAATCCTAAAATGAAACATCCACAACATATTTCTACCTCAATTTGTATAGGGTTACAGCAAAAATAGAATGAAACGTTCACTGTTGTATTTCAATACCGCATTACAAAGAGAACATTTGACTTCTTTGCCTGAATTAACAATATTGAAGAAAAAAAAAAAAAGAAAAAAAAAAAAACAATATTGAAGTGGTCCCACACAGCACTTCTTTTCGCCTGCTTCATTTTGTTTTCAACCTTGGTCTCTCTCGCGACACGAGGCGTGTTCTCGTTCTCACGCTGTGTTCAAGTTACAGTAAAGCGCCAGCACCCTCTAGCGGTTAATCTTGATTAATACATTTTGATCGAGCAACCTCTTGATCGACAATTAATCTAAAGTCGATTAACCGTTTGCATCCCTAGTACTAAATCGCATTTAGCTGAAAGAATTGAACAACTACACGTATTTTCTACTTCATTAATTGAGATGTCTTTTGTGTGTCTGGTTCCTTTTAAGGCTCAGAGGAGCTTTCATTCATGAACTTCATTATTAAAGTGTTCCTTCATTTAATGTTTTCCTCCAATTCCCCAGCAGAACCGAAGGAACCAGAACTCAGGATGGTTCTTGTTGGAAAAACTGGAACTGGAAAGAGTTCAACAGGAAACACCATCCTTGGGGAGAAACGGTTTGAATCAAAGATTTGTGCTATTGGTGTGACAGCAGAGTGTCAGAAGGGAACTCGAATGTTTGGTGGTAAAAAACTGGATGTTATTGATACTCCAGGGCTGTTTGACCCCGTTAGAAGCAATGAGGTGCTGGTGAAAGAGATAGCTGAGTGTATTTCTCTTGCGGCTCCTGGTCCTCATGCGTTCCTGGTTGTCATCCAACCGACCAGGTTCACAAAAGAAGAACAAGAAACATTGAAAATCATCCAGAAAACCTTTGGAAAAGAAGCAGCACGTTACACAATGGTGTTGTTCACCCATGGAGACGACCTGAAGAGGGAAGGCGTCTCCATAGAAGAAATAATAGGTCAGAATAAAGCTCTGGATAAGTTTGTCCATCGGTGCCGTGGAGGTTATCAAGTGTTTGACAATAGGGATCGTGATGAGTCTCAGGTCCACGAGCTGCTGGATAAGATCAACAGAATGGTTCAGAGGAACGGAGGAAGATTCTACACCAACAAGATGTTTGAAGCAGCTCAGAAAGCAAAGAGAGAAGAAGAGAAACGACTTCTGAAAGAAAACCCAGATATGGATCGTGAAGAAGCAAGAAGACGGGCAGAGAAGGACAACTCATTCATTAGAGAATGTCTGAAAGCAGCTGCTGCTGGAGCTGCTACTGTAGCTGCTGGAGCTGCTGGATTTATTGTTGGAGGTATTCTTGGAGGTCCAGTGGGAGCTGTTCTTGGAGGTCCAGTGGGAGCTTCTGCTGGAGCTGCTGTTGTTTTAGCTGCTGAGACAATAAAAATGAAAGCATGCATCATTCAATGATTATCTCTTTTATACATTAGCTTCAAATAATTAAAAGGTTCATTTATCTGAAATATCTGGATGTCATAGAAACACTTCTTGTGATTCAGATTTTTTTTGGCGGGGTCAGATTGCCTATGTTTGCTGTTCTGAACCATTAATGATACTGTTAGAAATCCGTTTCTTTTCTTTTGCCATTGGAGAGCTTTGGTGTGAAGAGCCAAACATCAGCTGTTATGTATCTGAATAACAACTCTGAAATAAATCTACAATCCCAGCCTGTCTCTGGACCTTTATTCTACCTGTTCTTTCAGTGTGCTCTGAGGCTCAGAGGGTTTCTAATGCGCACCGTCCTGTGCTTTCAGAACCAGGCGCTGACCTCAGAGTGGTTCTGGTGGGTCAGGAGAGAGTGGGAAAGAGCTCAGCGGGAAACACCATCCTGGGAAAGAAGGAGTTTAACTGTCGGATCAGCTCCATCCCGCTGACTCTGAGCTCTGAAAAGATAGAGGGAGAGTTTGAGGGCCGCAGAGTCTCT